AATATTTTACATAAAGTCATTATCCAAGAAAATAAAAAAAAAATTAATATTTTTTTATTTTTTAAATCGAATTTTTAATTATTTTTTATTTTATTTTTATTTTTTGCCGATCGCCGGCCGCCGTGGCCGGCGACCGACCACAGGCGAGGACGAGCTCGCCGGAGGCCGGCAAAGCTCGTTCTCGCCGATCTGGCGAGGCCAAGGCCTCGCCGGCCTCAGGCGAGGCTCCAGCCTCGCCGATCTGGCGAGACTCGAGCTCGCCGGCAGATCCGGCGAGGTCGAGCTCGCCTGAGGCCCGGCGAGCTCGAGGCTCGCCAGATCGGCGAGGCCGGAGCCTCGCCGGGATCGGGCGAGCCTCGAGGTCGCCGGGATCGGGCGAGCTCGAGGCTCGCCGGATCGGCGAGGCTCGAGCCTCGCCCGAGGCCGGCGAGCTCGAGCTTCGCCGGCCTCCGGCGAGGTCGTCCCGCCCCTGTGGCCGGTCGCCGTGGCCGACCACCGGCCGGAATAAAAAAAAAAGAAAAAGAAAAAAATAATTAAATTTCGATTTTTTTTAAACATTTTTGTAAAGAGGGAGAGAGTGTGTAAATGGATCTAGTAGGTGGGTTGGACATGGGTTCCAAACTCAACCCATTTAGACCCATTTATCTTTAAGCTTTAAAATTTAAAATCCATTTAAAGTTGACTCTTTAAAATTAAAGTGACCCATATATGACCCATTTATTTTTAAATGGGTCATATATGGGTTTAAGACCCATTTTGACACCTCTAGGTACACTCAAAAGGAAGAGAATTGCTGATTGTTAAGAGGCAACCACAAACGGATGCTCTGCTCTTATGGACAATGGCTGGTTGTTTGAGGTAATGTGCAAACTGCATAGCGAGGATACATACACAAGTTCTTGACATAGAAACAACACCTTTGCGATTCCCAACCAATCCTTCCTTGCCTTCTTCTAATATTTGTGGGTCAATTATGGATGATTGCAAGAAGAATTCACGTTGTCGTGTTTTAATTGTGCTTGTAATTTTGTATCAATCTATGTCGGTCTAAAATATATGGATTTTGATTTTACGTACCAAAGATTGAATTACGATTAAAACGTGTTAATTCATATTAATTATTAGTTAGCGTATAATGCCGTATCATAATTCGGGTTTTTCTCTCTGTAACTCCTTTATTTTTCCTCGTATCGAATTCGTGTCTTGTAAACGATACAAAAGGGTCGCGGCTTGCATTGTCGGCCCTCGAAATAAATGAATAAATAATATTGACTTACCAAACTTCCTCCTCCTTTGTCAACAATTCTTCTTCTTCTTCTTCTTCTTCTTTTGGGTTTTGCGATCAACCTTTTGCCGTTAATAAGAAATAATTTATGTACTTTTCTCATTGAGGAGCAGGCTTTTATTTTATTTTATTCTATTTCCAAATTTGTTGCTAAGCTGGAAGCTTCATTCTACAATTTCTTGACAGAGAACCAAACACTTTTTCAAGTCCCTAACTAGCCCTGTCTTGTCTTCTTCTGTCGGACTTTTATATATCTCTGTACTTATTAGTTGATTAATCCTGGATGAATGTCGTGACAATTTATAGGTGGTTACCAAGTTTCTTCCGCCTTTCTCCTCAGAATCTTTTTTTATTTTATTGAGATAAATGTGTTTAAAGTCTTAAAACTTATAACGAAAGTGTAATTGAGTTATAAATATTCGAAAAAGTGCAATTCAGTCCTAAAACTTATCACGAAAGTGAAATTAAGTCCTAAAACTTTCAAAAAGTGCAATCAAGTCCTAAAACTTGTCAAATTAATTCAATCAAGTCCTTTCATTAATTACACTTTTTGAAATTTTTAAAATTCGATTGCACTTTCACGATAAATTTTAGGACTTGATTATATATTTTGAAAATTTTAGCACTCGATTAAACTTTCATGACAAGTTTTAGAATTTAATTGTACTTTCTGAAAGTTTTAGGATTCCATTGCACTTTCATTACAAGTTTTAGGACTTCTAATGCGCTGTCCTTATTTTATTATTTACAATATAATAGTTAACACATGGATGGCAGGTTGGCCAGATTTGAAAAAACTCATGGACGTGGTCTTTTTTTTTTTTTTTGGGTCTGTAGGGATGTGATCTTCGACCAAAGCATATATAAACGTAGATCCACGTGATTGGAATACATACATCATTGCTACTAGTAGTGGACTGGATGAAGCCCATCTCGGGCATCCTCGAGCTTTTTGCATTAAGCGAGACTCACGTGAAACTCACGGGATTGAAGAGCAAAAGGTGCATTACATGACTTATGTAGTTGAAATGTTATCTCAGCTAGAAGAGATTGAGAAATTTAGGGTCACCACAAGTTAAGAGGGTATCCATCTTAATTCTGATAATTAGATTAATGGCGTCTGGAGACTAACAAAGATCTCCTCTCACTTGCCAGAGTAAGGGCCGATGTCGTTGGCAGCATATCCGTCCTAGATCTCTATTAGTCTTTACTGCTGAACAGAGATGTTTTTCTCTCTTCTATTTCTCTTTTGAATAAATACAAAAACATATATATTTGTACAGATAAAAAACTACCAATATTCTATACTATGCACATCTTAGGCTAAGAATCAGGTTGATTCTCAAAATAAGGACGTTATAAAACACAAATTTAGCAACTAGTCAATCCTACAATTTCTCTAATTAGTCATAATCGACAACCCACGCCAACATTCTCTCTCAAGTGAGTGCATAGATATCACTGATGCCTAACTTGTCAAGTGAGTTGTAGAAGATCTTGCTAGAGACGGCCTTCGTGAGTATATCCGCCGGTTGATCTTCAGATTTAACAAATGGGAATCGAATTATCTTGCCATCAAGGTCTTGTTTGATGAAATATCATCTACCTCGATATGTTTAGTGCGGTCATATTGGACTGGATTATAAGAAATATCAATGGCCGCCTTATTGTCATAAAATAAGCTCATCTCAGAATTTGGAGAAAAACCAATTTTAGTCGGTAATCTCTTAAGCCAAAGAAGTTCACAAAGTCCTTCGGCCATTTCTCTTAACTTGGCCTCAGCAATAGATAACGACACTATGCTTCTTGCTCCTCCACTTGACAAGATTGTTTCCCATGAAGGTAAAGTAGCGTCATGTAGACTTCCTGCCAGAAATACTCCTTGCCCAGTCTGCATCTGTATAACCCTCAATATTAAGATAATTATTCTTTGAGAACAAAAGTCGTTTCCCTGGAGCGGACTTTAAGTAATGAAGAATTCAAACTAGGTGAATGCATAAATTGACTGACTATGCTTATGGCATAAGTAATATTCAAATGAGTATGGGATAAATAGATTAACTTACCCACTAATTTTTTATACCTCTCCTTATTAGTTGGCACCTGATCTTGGTAGTCTCCAAGCTTGTGATTCTGCACAATCGGAGTATTAGTTGGCTTAGAGTCTAGCAATCCCACTTCAGACAATAAATCTAGCACATATTTCCTTTGAGAAAGAAATATACCTTTTTTTTTATTTGGCTACCCCAAGATTCTTAATTTCAAACTCAATTGCCAATCTCTTTTGGAATCTAGAGATGCCTTCCAAGTCATCCCATGTGATAATCATGTCATCCACATAGATTATTAAAGATTTTACCTTTCCCTGTTGTCATTTCAAGCGTAGAGTATGATCTAAGTTCCTCCAGTAGAAACCATTCTTCTTAATAACCAAGTTGAATCGTCCAAACCATGTGCGGGATGATTGTTTTAGACCATACAATGCGTTTTTTACATCTAACTGGTGCAATGGCCAATCTAAATTTGTGGCAAGAGACAACAAGACCCCAATAGTGTTCAGTTTTACCATCAGCGAAAAAGTCTCTTGATAGTCTATGCCATATGTTTATGTATATCCCTTTGCTACAAGTCTCACCTTATATCTTTCAATCGATCCATATGCCTTACGTTTACCGGAGAAAATCCATTTGTAAACAACTATCTTTTTCCCTTCTGGTGGTGGAACAAGAATCCATCTTATTAAATGATTTCGACCAGCTTTTATCATTGAATTAATGACATAAGATTGTCCGGCCAGATTAGTTGTTGGTGCAACCCTTTTTAAGAGTTATAACACTTAAATGATTGCATCCCAAATTTTTCAATTTTTGGAAAATTAATGTACTCCACAATGTTATTCGCTACATAAATCACGCGCCGCGGAGTTTCAAAAGCTTTTATAGGAATTTAACTAACAATCAATTTAATGCCAAAACTTCATCAAGGATTAATTTAATATCAAGATTTTCTAAAACTGTTCATTGAAATGACTTCGACGAGCTTTCATCATTAAAATAAGGACGTATTGGATTGTCCAGCAAGATCAATTGCCAGTGCAACGCTTTTTTTTAAAAAAATTTCCGACACTTTAAAATGGTCGTTCAAGATGTTTCAATACTAAAAATCGGCGCTCCGCAATAAATTTTTCCTATTTTATCATTCTACATCCTCTATCTAATATATAAATAAAACTCCATCGCTTAAAAACGCCAAAAATATGCCATTCGGTCCAATACGCAATGTCATCCATGAATTTATAATTTATTCATCGTGTTCCCTAAGGTTTGATCTAATGTATAATGCCATCCATGAACTTTTAATGCGTTCAATGTGGTCCTTGAACTTTTAGTATAATGTTCAACGTGATCCATGAATTTTTACATATTTTCATATAATTTATGGATTACGTTATATACTTACAAATAGTTTAGAGATCGCGTTGGATAAATTAAAACTTCAAAAATAACATTACATATTAAGCCGAGATTCAGAAATTACATTACAATAAATTAAAACTTTATACATCATATTACGCATTATACCAAAGTTCGGGATCATGCCGCCGAATCGCTCCCTTAACCGCCTAACCTCCCGTGCTCTTCATATATATGTATCGATGTTGCTGTAAGCGGCGAGACGCTCTCTCGTCTTCCTTCGTCGTCCTGGTCCCGCCGTCGCCTCGCCGGACGGCTCCGATCGGTGGCCGCCGCCGCTCGCCGGTCGCCGCAGTTCGATCTCCGAGATCGAAATCGCGCCCCCCCCCCCCCCTCCCCCCCGAGAAGAGATGGTGAAGATCGAAGAGCAGCCCGTCTCCGTCCACGACGCGGCCTACAAGCTGCAGCACTACCTCCTCGAGGGCATCGGCGGCGAGGCCCAGCTCCTCGCCGCCGGCTCCATCCTGTCGCGCCGCGACTACGAGGACGTGGTCGCCGAGCGGTCGATCGCCGGCCTCTGCGGCTACCCGCCGTGCGCCAAGCCCTTGCCCTCGGACCGCTCGCGGAAGGGTCGGTACCGGATTTCGCTGAAGGAGCACAAGGTGTATGATCTGCACGAGACCTACATGTATTGCTCGACGGGCTGCGTCGTCAATAGCCGGGCTTTCGCGGGGAGCTTGCCGCCGGAGAGGTGCGCGGTTATGGACTTGCTGAAGATGCAGGAGGTTTTGAGGGTGTTTGGGGATAAGGGCTTGGGCTCCGAGGAGGAGGCGGAGGGGAGGGTAGATGGAGTTGGGGAATTGGGGATGTCTGGATTGAAGATAAAAGAGAATGAAGAGATTAGGGCAGGGGAAGTGCCGTTGGAAGAGTGGGTTGGTCCTTCGGATGCGATCGAAGGTTATGTTCCTCAGAGAAGAGATGATAAGGCGGCCGCGGCGGCTTTGCGTGCAAAGAAGGAACCTAGAGAAGGTAAAACTCTTTGGTGATTCCTTGGTCTGTCGATGATTGACTGGCTATGGCAATATTATAGCACTTTTAATTGTTGAGTGTAGATGAAATGGGAAAAAGAGAAGGGTTGAAGGTTTTGAGTATGTCCAATTCTGCATCATGGAGCACTAGTAGTTTTGGCTTCTCTAGAGCAGTTAATTATAGTGGCTATGGCGAGCGGATTTCGTACAGTCTTGGTCGGACCCTCTTCGTGCTTTAAAAGTGTCCTTGAATTGCTTGTGCAGGGTCGAAATCCAGAAATTCTAAGCCAAGTAAAAAGGAGCTAATAATTAATGACATGGACTTCACAAGTACTATAATCACTCAAGATGAATATAGCATTTCAAAGTTGCCCATGAATTTAGCGGAGGAAGTTTCTGCCGCAACACTGAAAGAATCGAAAGGAAAAAAAGTTCATGGCAAAGATACGCAGCGTCATCGTACTGTAATTGAGACTTCATCTGCAAAGCCAGGAACTTCCAAGATAAACCAAAGAGAATTGAAAGGGAAGAGCTATGACATCACAGAAGATGGATACATCTCTCAAAGAGTTCCTTCCCCTTCAGAAGTCTGTCAAAGTGGATCCCTAAGTCATGTTACAGGAGCAGAAGGAGCAGTTAATGATGGGAACTCTGATGGAACATCAACTGAAACCAAGCTGAAGCCCTCGCTTAAGTCTGCAGGTGCAAAGAAAGTTAATCGTTCCGTTACATGGGCTGATGAGAAAGTTAGTGCCGCCAATGGGGGAAACCTTTGCGAGATTAGAGAAATGGTAGACAAAAAAGAACCTCCACTAACATCTGGCATTGAAAATGGGCAAGATGATGAAAATCTGCTGCGCTTTTCATCAGCTGAAGCCTGTGCAATGGCCTTGAGTCAGGCTGCGGAGGCTGCTGCATCTGGAGAATCTGACGCCTTTGATTCTGGTTGGTATCTTCTTTACTGTATGGAAGATCCATTTTAACATTATTTGGCATGAGCATACTGTAAATTATTGATATAACTAAAAAATGGAATATATCCGACGACTCATGTTTTATGCAAAAATAAATCTGAATCTAGGTAGCCTCTATTTTTGGTTGTTCTTTCTCAATGGATCTATGGAGGAAACTCCTTTTATTGTAATAATTGAAGACCTGTGGCTGGTTGGGATCAGGAATTAGATTGGGCATTGTATCACATGAGGGAAAAATCCTTTGCTGTGAATATATTAAAATTTGCTGGAATGCAGCCATATGTTGGGAGAGTTCATCATCATGGTTTGTTTGCCGTAAGAGTTAAGATGTCTGCATTGTTGGAAGAAAGGACGTTTATCTTGTTGGGACAGGGCATGCAACTCAACCACAATTGGGGAATTAAACCATTTGTACATCCTAAGTAGTCTGATGTTGCAGAGTTATGTTAATGCTGAGAAGGTGCTGGCTGTATTTTCCTGATCAAGAATTCGTAAGAAATGAATGATTAATTGCTGGTTTTGAAGATCTGTTTTCTGGTGAGGTATGAGCAAAATATGGCCCCACGTTGTCTTGGGCGTTGATTGCTTGTTGGGTTGATTGGTGTAATGAGGGACATGGGGCTTAGATTCTTGGGTTTGGGCCTTTGAGTTTGCAGGGATTAGTTGTATTAGGTTTGGGGTAAGCTTGTTCGCTCTTAGGGTTTTGTGTGACTGAGATTGTTCTGGTAAGTTTTCTTTTTGCTGATGACCCATTCTCCATTTGGTGTTTGAAGCTGGATTGATTATATTGCCACATCCACATGATGCGGATGGAATAGAACCTGTGGAGGACACTGATCCCCTGGAGGTAGATCCAGCCCCTGTAAAGTGGCCAAATAAACCTGGGATTCCGACCGCTGATTTATTTGATGCCGATGACTCATGGTATGAGGCCCCACCGGATGGATTTAGTTTGGCTGTAAGTGTTGTTAATATGTCTTGTGTACAATTTCCAGTTGCCATGTTAGCCTCATCATTCACTTTAAAGTGTTTTTTGAAATGTTACAGTTGTCTCCTTTCGCAACCATGTGGGGTGCCCTTTTTGCATGGATAACATCATCGACTTTGGCTTATATATATGGCAAAGATGAAAGCTTTCATGAAGAGTATATGTCAGTTAATGGCAGAGAGTACCCACAAAGAATTGTAATGTCCGACGGCCGCTCTACTGAAATTAAGCAAACCCTCGCTGGCTGTCTTTCTCGAGCTTTACCTGGATTGGTCTCTGATCTCAGGCTGCCGATGCCAGTATCCACCCTCGAGCATGGATTGGTATAATATATGAATCTATTCTCACCCCTTTTTTTCTGAGTCCTTCTGTTTCTTATGGTGATTGTTGATGCAAAAGAATTGATTAATTTATTAGAAATATGAATAGATTGTGGCATTTGAGGACCCCTTGTACTCCCTCTTTGTTTCTCATTTGTTTATGTATTATTTTCAATATCATCAAGTCTGCTGTCTGATTAGGCATAAAGTTATCTTTTTACTGTCTTGTAGTTTGATCAAAACTTTTCAATAAGGGTCGCTCTGATAAAGCTCAAAATTTTGAACTGAAAACTTTAGAGCTAGAAACTGAGTGCTAAATGCCCCAGTGTTGAAAATGCAAACAGAAATTTGCTGTTTGATAACATCTTTAGTCTAGATAGTACTAGTTAAGCTGTTTGATTGGCAGTTTTGTTATTTGTAAAAATTATCCAAATGTTGCATTGACTATACATGAGGGCATATATCTGAATCTTCTGACCATAAGGCAAAATGATAGTTACCTAAAAGTAAAAGTGGTTCAAATCTTCAGATAGATATTTCCAGTTACCAAATTCTTTCCAACAAGTCCCTGTAGTTGTGCAGTACTTTTCATCAGGTTGCACGCACGATAAATCATTATCAGGAAAATTCCTCATGGGATAAAAATGCTGACCAAAATTAATTTGACAAGTGACGGCTTACACCTTTTCAACTCTGCAGCCTGTTTGAAGAATTATCATGTGCTGCTTTTTTTGAGATGTTTATTATATTTATGGAGCATGCATGATGTGCTCATGAAAGGAAATAGCAAGTTTCTTCATTCTTGAACTTTATATTCAACCTTTGTTATATTTTTATCTGTATAGAGAATGAAAATTGGTTTAGAAATCAGAGAAATTTGTCTGTTGCTAATCTTTGTCAAATAGCCTGGGGAATTTCTTTTTGAGTTTTGTTGTTTAGCTGTCTAAGTTTAGATTTGCTTTCTCATTGTTCTGCACAACCATTTGCAATCTAAGAAACCTATATTATTTGGGGTGCTGATTATGTAGATCTCTTTTCATGAAGAGTTGATTTTGGTTGATCAAACAGGGTCGCTTGTTGGATACAATGTCATTTATGGATGCACTCCCTGCTTTGCGTGCAAAGCAGTGGCAAGTGATTGTTCTTCTCTTTATTGATGCTCTCTCCGTTTGTCGAGTTCCTGTGCTGACTGCACACATGACTAATAGGCATCCCTCGATGCAGAAGGTGAGTGAGACATCATGATCTCAATCTAGTGATTTTGTTTACGGGAACATCATGCAATCCTGATGAAATCTTCCTTATATACACCCACATATATAGAGTTATTCCTGTTATGGCTGTTCTAAGGGGTGACTGCGATGCATGTCTTCTTGCAACCGTATTTCTCTAGTCCTTACAAACCAGATTTAGCCTCCTATGTCATATTATCACTCAAATTCCCTGGAGAAGGAAGGTAAGGCAACTTTGGTGGGATGGGAAAAAGAAACTGATGGGTTCATGAATGTTCAGCTTTCTTAGGTCCTTTGACATGGACTGTCGTATAGATTTTGAACTTGGGACTGTCCTTAAAACATGGACGGTTTAACCCTGTACCTCGTGTAACAGGTGCTGCAGGGCGCTCAAATGAGCATGGAAGACTACGAGATTATGAAGGATCTTCTAATACCTCTCGGCAGAGCACCTCAGTTCTCGGCGCAGAGTGGAGCTTAGTGGTGCAAGATTGGACCCAGTGAAGAACTGGTCAACTGCAATTTTGACAGGCAACCTTATACTGTCTCATGCAATGAGATCTTCTTACTTATGCTGAAAGCAGTTAATTCGGATACGGGAGTATGAAAACCGAAGACTCGTGTAACTTCTGTAGGAACTTAGAAGGTACTTGTGGATATTGGACCCGGGAGTGGATAAATTGCATTCCTTGAACTTTGTACATCTTTTTCTTCTATCCATTTTTGCCGCGCTTGGTCGTCGGATCATACTCTCTATCTCTTGCCGTCTCCGCATGCATCGAGCCTCCACAGTCCGCGCCCTTTTTTTCATAATTTTGATATCCTTCATTACATAATTATATCCGAACCTAGCGATTGCTCCAAACACCGGATAGGATTCGATGCCGAGTCTTTCTTTTCCCTGGCTGTGGTCATAAGATCTTTGAATCAACGCAGGCTGAACAGAATGAGGAACTCTTCAAAGCAGCTTGATCAGCAACTTGGGGTCCCGTCATTTTCCACCCATTACCAGGAGCTAATGTCCAAGAACCCTTCTTTCTTCTCTACTTCTGTGACATTTGGCCGGGTCCTAGGGATGCCTGACATTTTCCAACGTTTTGATGGGGATTTGGACAAATGAGAAGAGAACCTCGTCTGGCCGAGCAACAGGGGCAAAGCCTTTTGTTTTTTTTTTTCCCCTTTCATGCTGCAATTATTTCCTGGTCCTCTTGCGGCCGAAGGCATCACGAGATACATTTCCCGTGTGGTCGGTCAACAATCATTTTAGTCCACCGCAAGAAAATCTGCTCTGCCTATCTTTTAGTTTTCTATTCCTGGTCGGCGAAGACACCCAAATAGATGCTCGAGCTTTCACATCAGTTAGTGTGAAATTACTCTGCAATCACATCTCGTCTAGACTTGGGTCACCGTATATAGCTGTTGGTCGTGCAGGTTTCATATAATATCTCAAAGGCATCTTACCAAATCCAACGGTCTGCGCTCGGTCCATAAACCCGGGTCTAGACAAGAACTATCCTCGTATTCGGGCCGCTTGGCCGAATTTCATCGTGCGTTTCATCTGACTCGCGATATCGATCGGATATCTTATCGTGAACTCGGTGCGGAAATTATGTTGTAATTTAATCCATGAAATTAGAGAGAGGAGAGAAAAATAATGTCTGCATGTGAAGTAGGGGCACCAAATTAGGTGGTCCGTAAGCTGTGAGAGCTTGTGATGGAATAGTGCTTTTGGTTAGGTAGTGGTTAGAAGCAGTTGCGTTTTTAATGATAGCTAGCAAGCATAGCCCAAAAAGAATTCGTGTCCTAACTCCCATAATAGAAATGTATTTTTGGACCGGTTCCACCATGACCCGCCCCATCGTAACGTCGTGATTCGGTCCTTTTTTTTTATTTTTTATCGTGGCGCTCATTCAGTACATCGTAACATATAATTGAAAATTTGTGGTCATTTATGTCTTGCGACATTTTTAGATAGACATAATCGGATTCGTGTTTTGCCACCTACACGTCGAATGATTTGGTCCCGCAAATCATTCTCGCCTAGTTGTAACGTCGTGATTCAGTCCATTTTAGTCGTAAATCGTAATACATAATTGAAAATTTCTCGACACTTATGTCTTGCGCCATTTTAAATAGAAATTACGAGATAACCAAATTTGAGTTTTGCCAGTTACACGGACGATCGGGACCCACAAATCATTCGTACAAAAATTAATTCTCAAATCGCGATGGTGCCATAGGACTATTCAAGTCTATATTATCCCTAGAATTGCGTGTTGAGTAATTCTAGATAAGCCCTTTTTTTGGACTTTCCGTCAACTTTTTGAAAGGCCACTTAGCTTTATACATAATTACAACTATATTCTGCATAATTGACTAGAATAATTAATCACATTAAATGCTTTTCATTCGAAAAAAATCAAAGTAGATTCACCAACTTATATATTATTTCTATATCAAATATACACGTATTTGTTCCTATTTTAGCAAAAATCGGTACGTTGAGGTTGCAAATACCTATTTTTCCCATTAATCTTTCGAGCAACAACTTGAAGTAGATCACATTGCACATTACAAGTAACCAGCGTAACCAAAATCAAGATTAGTTTTGTAGATATGATAGAATTACACGCTTCCCCTTAAATTACCATCTTTTGAATATTTCTTGCTCGGATATTTTGCTCGAGAAAACTAAAACAATACCCATCTCTTCATGGCATCAAATGCACTCGACATGAAAAAGTCAATTATATATATATTTTTTGGAATTATATATATATATATATATCAAAACCAGGATTTACAACGGTAACTTGCCCCCAATTGAATTTTAGTTGGAAGATAATTATAATTGGACTTTTCGATGTAGGAGCCATTTGCTCATAATTCAAAAGTAGATAAGCATCTACCAAAAAGTTAAAATAATAAAAAAAAGGACCGCGCCACGTGTCGCTCCCTCGTTGGCCTCCGGTTTCACCATTTCCGTGAAACAACAAAAGAGGAGCAAAAATAAAGTAAGTTTTGAACGGTCAAAAGAGAAAGCCAAAGGAGCTCTGCCCCCCATCCCAATTAACTAAAGTTTTAAAAAAAAATTTAAACTATGTCTACCGTAACACCGATACCCCGAATTTTAATATCCTAAACTATATCCACAGTTAACGACGATACCTTAATTATTTGTTCATGCCACAAAAGCCCCATTTTAGGATTTTTTTTTGTGGCAGATAGAGAATATTTTTGTCATACCGATACAAGTTTCGAGATTTTAGTGATACAAAAAAAAAAGTTTAGGGTAATCGTATCGCAATAGGCATCGTATTAAATGTTCTATGGTACTTTCCTAGCTTTTTTTTTTAAACCAAAATAAGTAAGATATGCTCATTTATTCCAAATCAATCCTCCCATTCGAGATATTGTAAGCAAAATGAGTGAAATCACTGAATCTTGTAACCACGAGCTGGTTAAAGACGGACAGAATTATTATCCACTGAATCGATCTAGAGTGCTATTGACACCTATTTTTAATTTGCCCAATTAAATTAATTGCAAAACTTGCTCCGACGGCAACGACTCACCTCTGACGGCTACATCCGAACAGGGAGCAAGGTCGGTATGGGCCGCTTTGCAGGGAGGTCACGACAAGTGTCCTCACGTTCAAAGAATGCAAGGAAATCTACAGTAATCAGAACTCATAAATTAATCGGGATCGATAGAGATACCATATATCAAAAGCATCTAAAAAATTAATCCCGATCGATAGAAAACCCCTCTCTGATCACGTCTCTGACCCTTGGATCACGAGCACAGACATCGGATCGTAAATCAGCGATCATCGATACGAAAATTCAATAATCAGAAAAAAAAAAAAAAAACGAGCTCGGTGTCAATTGATCCCAAAAAAAAAAAGATTTGACAAAAAACAAAATAACCTCACCTTCTCTCAACTCAATTATGCATGTCCATACTATATATTCATATACTCAATATTATTTCAATTGCAATCATAAAATTAATAATTGATTTTGGAGGGGGGGGGGGGACTTTCCTCTATCTTTCCTTTGACGGTCACCAGCGCATCATAGCACGCCACACACCCCTAAATAAAAATAAAAATAAAAAACAAATATAATAATAAAAAAAGGAAAATAACAATAAAAAAGAAAATGAGAAATGGGAAAAAATAAAGAAAGACCAATAAACCAAACCTGATGGAGACAACGAGCGCCTTAAAACAAAGCGACCATCATCACCACCACCCGTTCACACACTCTCTCTCTTCTTTCTCTCTCCTCTCTCCACTCTCTCTCTCTCTTCTTTCTCTCTCTAACGCGTCGCGCGACCTCCGGCTGCTGAGCCCCCCCGGCGCCGCCGCCGCCGCCGCCGCCGGGCGATCGGTTCGTCGCCGGCGCGGATTCCTCCCCCCGCACGATCGGTAGGTTCGCCGGACGGTGTCGGTTTTCCTCTTCTTCGTCGTTCGCTGTGATTTTTCTTTTTTTTTTCTTTGGCTCCGTCATTTTCCGGGGGGGGGGGGGGTGTTGGATGCGCAGGTGTGAGGGTTTCTTTTCGCTCGATGGATCCGCCGGTCGCGGTGTGGTTCCGGAGATTTCCGCGGCCGCTCTGGTGTCATTTCTGGTGATTCGATCTCTCCTCGTTTGCGGATTCGTTTTTTTTCTTCTTTTTTCATTTTTTCAATTGGTTTTTCTCTGTGCCCAGATGACTAAGCTCGTCCGTGTTTTGTCTTTTTTGGCGTCAAGTTCGGTTTTTTTTTTTATTTTTGTTGTGGGGGGTGGCGCTTAGATTTGCTGATTCCTTGATCTCGCTTTCTTGCGGTGTTTGATGGCGTTTCTTATTTTGGAAATGGGGTTTTGATCCGTGCTTTTTCTTTGGCTGCGTGAATTTTTGGGTCGGTTTTATCTATGGGTATGGGGTTCGCTGCTGTTTCCCAGAAGTCGATTGTTGGGGAATATTCTTTCTTCCTAATTGTGTGCAGAAACAAAAAAAAAAAAACCACTCTTTGGATTCACGCGTCCCCTAGACTTTTACCGTTTGTATCTTTCTATTACATTTTGTTGTGGATGTCTAGAGGCATGGATGGCTTGAAAGGAAGGGAAAGTCGCGGTGTGGCGTTGCTTGTTGCGCTGCTGTTGTCCGTGAGGGATCATTGAGTGTCCTTTTGGTTGTGTTACTTGAATTGTGGGGTTTGCAGCAGGCTGCAGTGTGGGTTCTGCATTTTGGAAGATGGGGTGTGTCTAGCTTAGCTCTGCTGACCTTTGGAGTCGGATATGTTTTGCCTGAACGATGCATAGCAGTAAGATTAGAGCCGTTGTCGGCTGTTTGTGGAGGTGCGGTGTGCGTTCTCCACCTCTGCTTACTGGGTTTGGTTGAGGATGTCTGTCGAGATTACTAGGAGATGGGAGATTGAGACATTTGTTCCGTGTGCCTTTTGATTCTCATGCTGTAATTGGCTGTAGACGAGTGTTCTGTTCGTGTGTATCAAGTACTGCCTTTCTGAGTGCGATTTGTTCTCGCAGGTAAATGATTGACCTTGTCAACTTGGAGAAGCTGCGAGCTTAGGTGTTGGTGCCTGTGCGTCTGATGGCTTCAGTGGGCGTCGCACCTAATACTCTGAGGGAACCTAGTGGTCACGCTGTCGGTGTTGATAGGTTGCCTGAAGAGATGAATGAAATGAAAATCAGGGATGACAAGGTAAGTAATGGGGCTATTCAATACTCTTGCTCCATTTTACCAGCTTGTTGTTTCATGCTTATTCTGAGAACTAGTGCATCCATTCTTTTTCCTTTGTGTGTGTCTGTGAGCATGAACATTCAAACTATTCAGCAGCTCATCCTTCACTTTTAATCAGGAAATGGAAACGACAGTAGTTGATGGTAACGGCACAGAGGCAGGTCACATCATTGTGACAACTATTGGTGGCAGAAATGGTCAGCCAAAACAGGTGAGTATTTGGAATTTTTCTAATATGTCATAATATCTTCACCCTCCTCCTCCACTCTCCTCTGTCTTCTTCCTTCTCTTTTTTGCATGCTTGATGTTTGTCATATGGAATGGTTGATG